TTGGCATTATAACGTAAATGGAGCAAGCATCACACCAACCAATTTATCCCCAACAAAGGAGGATGTTATGTGTATTATTCGACCAGTGGTGATGCGGCAGTACATACCTCATATATGCCTCATATATGCCTCGTATATGCCTCATGTACACCTCGTATATGGAAAAACCTCAATATATGACTCAACGTATGTCTCAACATTTGTCTTATGTATAATTAAAGCCTCAACATATGCCTCATATATGCCTGATATATGGATAAAGCCTCATATATGTCATTTATATGCCTCATATTTGCAGAAAGTCTCATACATGCATAAGAACAATAAACCAAAGCAGGTACCAAAACCAAGCAGGGGCCACGCACAAGTAAGCCAAACATCCAAATAACATTGGAGGATATATGGCTTGGAAGCAAAAACTTCAAACCATAATGGCAGTGAAAGAAATACACGTTTAAGCTGTGAAATTTCCATTGAAACCAAAACAAACATTAAGATGTGAAATTCAAAGCCTTTAAACCTCATTGGAAAGCACGTTTAACATTCTCAATTTGCATGATTCAAGTAGGTCACAAAAACTTCAAACCACAATGTCAGTGAAAGAAATACAACACTGAATTTGTAGAACAAATTTGGAAGCACGAGTATCGAGCTACACCTTTTAATTTCAACGGATAATGCTAATAACCATCACCAAGACAACTCAAATAAAAAATTTCATATAAAGAATCTTAGTACCTTATTACCCTGAAAATCATCATGCATGTTGGAATCATTAGAATCATGCACATTGCATATGATCACACCATCACTATCTAACAATGTTGGCATCCATGTTTGCTGTCTATTTAATTCAGTTCAAAGAAATATTTAAAAATTTTACAAATTTGAAATCCCACAATTAATTTAAGAATGAATATAAATTTTCACAATCATTATGATTTACACCACATATATGAAACTTGATATGTGACTAAACTTGACAAATTCTGTGTCATGCATACAAACTAAGTAAAAAGTAGTTTATGAAATAAGAATGATGAAAAACCGACCAAATCAAAACCCATACCCCAATAATGATACAAGGAAAATAACAAGTTTCATACCAATACAAGAAGCATCCCCGACTGTTATGTCAAAACTTTCAAAATTTCCTAAGAATCCAAACCCATTATAACTCACAAGTACTGAGATAAAAGACACACCATTAGCATTGCACAAATTATGTACAAAACACCTTCAAAGAATCCAGAATTTGTCCCTTCATAGTACCAAATCATCACAAAATGAAAGCAACTAAAAGAAACTTCCATTTTCTCATAAAGGAAACCAAATCAATTACAAAGTACATGCATTGTGTTAAAATCAATGCTAATGAACTAGCCAAGCTTAGATATACCAATAATGAAGTTGGTCTTATATTAAAAATATATGGTGGATGCAAAACTTATCTACTTTGACGCCCAACTCAAAGTTGATGCAAGAAATAAAGCAAGCTTCTTTCATATGCCCGAGGATTCATAAAGCAAGCTTCTTTCATATGCATCAACTTTCCCAACCCAGTCAATAAGGAGACGGTCTTTCATAAAGCAAGCTTTAAGAATCCATCAACCTTCCACTAAAAAACCCACTAACATAAAGCAAAAAGGACCATCAACCTTCAACCTTCATAAAGCAAGCTTCAAAAATCCATCAACCTTCATAAAGCAAAAAGGACTTCAAATAACTGCATTCACTTAACTGCATTTAACTGCATTCACTAAGATCCACTTCAAATAACTGCATTTAACTGCATTCAACCAATAATTTTTCAACGCGCATTTCTCACAGTTGCAAAGATAGTAGGTTTAATGAAAATCCGGTAGGAATAGGGCATACAAAAGGAAATAACTTTTCCACCATGTAATCATGCATGCCATGGAGTTTTTCAAAGAAATTTCAATCTAACCGAAAAAGTTCAGCACTTTTGTCCATAAATCAAAATCAATAATCACTGAAACAAATTTCACAGAGAGGAAAAAAAAAACCCGTGCAATACCATAGGTCGTATAGGTCGTAAGAGAATCAAAACATTGGAGGATATCGTGTAATCCATATATGGAAGAAGACCCGTGCAATATCATAAGTCGTAAGAGGAATTACATGCGAAATTTGTTTCGGGTTTCAGTTCACCACCTAAAAGTACACAAAGATCTCGGAGGAAACGGTAACAGGCCACAGACAAGAATGGGAGAGGAGAAGGGTAGACGGGATCGAGAGGCGAGAAATGGTATCGCTATGGGAATTCAATCGCAAGGCAAGGGCAACATTGCGAGAACTAAGACGGGATCGAGGGGCTTAGGGGTAATAAGCTACGACGGAATGTGAAACACTGAGTCCTCTCCGCTACAGAATTACCTTGGCATTATAACGTAAATGGTAACGCGCTTATCCCGGCCGCATATGCGAAAGCAAAAACCAAACTGCGGCTCGGCTTTTTAAAAATGCCAAAAACCCAAATAAGCTGCGCCAAATGGACCCTAAGTGGTAGAATAAATGGGAAATTAGATTTACGGTGGTAGTTTAGTAAATAGCAAAGTTTAGGTGTTGGACGGGTAAATAGGAAGGTTTTAAGTTATCTAGGCAAAACTCCTATGAAATATTTCGGTGGTATAAATGTAAAAATCAAAGTTCAAGCGTTGGATATGTAAATACATAGGAATTGGGTGGTATGCATGTAAATGCTCCAATTAATTTCGAGCAAGAATCAAACTAATCAATCAATAAAAAACCAAAAAACATATCACACAAAAAAAGCATTCCTAATATTCTTAAGAATAAACCATAATAAACACCGAAGTCACAACACCACAAACAGTTCTTATCAAAAGGGAGAAATTTTGGATACATCGCTTAAAATTAAATAGAAATAAATTTTTAAAATTTTAAATTTTCTTTGAGACAACCCCAACACAAAATAATCAATCAACTCTAACATCACATTCATCCCAAAATCAATTCAAAAACTTCAAAACACAAAGTCCAACTCAATTCTTTACCATCTCCAATCCACAATTAAAACAAACAAACTATTTCAGGCCATTACACACATATCACATAATCCGTATCTGGATATAAAACAAATCATTATTATTAACTTTTTTAAAGCAAAACAGGTATGCATAAATTTATGATACCAATTACTATAAATACAAGAGAAATTTGCATATCACCCGTTTCTTATATATTTATATACCTAACATCAAACATTCATATTTACATGCATACCACTCAGGGCTTTAATATCATAGTAAAAATATTACATTGCTATCTTCTTAAAAGAATGAAATACATAGGATAACCAGGTGTTAGGTATAAATATCAAACTTTCTAAGTGTAAGAAATGTAAATACATACAAATTTTGTCTTCCGCATAAAATTTCCCAAAGGGGAACTAAACCTTCCTACTTATAAACTGCTTTAAAAAGTCATCTAGATTCTGCTGCGAAGACCCTCCCACTCCCAACGCTTCCCCACACATCTCCTTCAACCTCGCCGCCCTCTCCCTCATCCCCTTACTCTCCTCATCGCCTAAATCCATCAGCTTCCTAACCTTCTTCACAACCAGCTCCTTCCTCACAATCTCCTCTCCATGATACTCCTTCAGCCTCACCCCAATCCCCCAATCCTCCACAACAAGCTTACTGTTGGGCTGCTGGTCCCAAAATAAGGGGTAGGTGATCATCGGAACTCCAGCGAAAACCGCCTCCAGCGTCGAATTCCACCCGCAGTGAGTCAGAAACCCGCCGACGGAGGAATGGCAGAGAACCCTAAGCTGATGGCACCATGGCAGAACAAGGCCCGTGTCTTCATCCACACAAAGAGGTTTATCTCTCAAAACCCATAGAAACTTCACCTTGCTTTCCATGAGCCCCATGGCAATTTCTTCTAACTGAGAGTCTGAGATTGAGAGAAAGCTCCCCAGGGAGACGTAGAGGACAGAAGATTCCGGCTGGGAGTCGAGCCATTGGAGGTAGGGGGAGGGAGGAGGGGAGGGGGGGAGGCGGTGAGGGATTAGGGGGCCGATTGGGTAGATTGGGATGGAGAAATCTGATCTGATTTTGGTCATGGCGGAGGACTCGAGGTTGTCGAAGGAGGTGGTGAGGACAGAGTGAGCTGTGTGGAACCAGTAGTAGTCACGGGACATTGCGCGGAGAAGGTCGAGGGTGGTGGCGTTTGGGAGTAAGCCGGCGATGTGGGTGGAGGAGACATCTTGGAGATAAGTGAGTTCTTCAACTCCTGCATTGGATTTGGATGTTAATTAAGAAGAAGATTATAAATATTTTATTAATATTAAATACCAGGGGCATTTGCATACATACCACCTAATTCTTATGTATTTATACATCTAGCACAAAGAATATACTTTTCTTGCATTTATGCCACCCAAGTCTTTCATATCACATATTTTTTATGCACAGTTATGTGGGGTGTATGTAAAAATTTAAATTTATGTTACATGTAAACAAATATGAATTGAGTTTGATTTGAGTTTTATGCATCTAAGTTTTCCTATGTACTATATATAAAATAGGAATAAGCTTAAGTTTGCCTAAATCTCAAGTTGTAGAAGTTTTTAATAACTAAATCTCACACTAAATTAATCCGCGCTAAAAATTTATCATTATGAAACTTAAGAGCTGTTTGATGACAAATTTAATAAATCTTATAAATTCGGATTTTTACAAAATTTTGCCAACATCCAAATCTAGTATTTGATGTGAAATTGAAATGTGAGAAATGTGATCTTTCATGTTTTGTTGTTCTAATATAATTTTATGTTAATTTTACACTTTTGAAAGATATTTGTGATGTTTTTGTGGGACCAACCTAAGAAAGTTAATGAAAGATTAAACGGTGGAGATTGGTGCTAAGTGTAGGAGTAGTGCCCAAACACAAGTCAAGCGGCGCCTAAGTGCCCAAGCAAGCTTTCAAACCAACCATGAGAGAAAAGTAAGAATGTAGGCGCTAGTTTGATGGCGTCATGGTTTAGCGCCAATGCGCTACATACCGATGCTTAAGTGCCCAATGCCATAAGCATGAAGAACCGAGTGGTGCAAAAAGAGACGTTGGATCTGCAACACTTGGGCGCTAGAGCCTAGTGCCTAGACGCCATAGACTATAGCGCCTAGGCCCCAGTTCACGTGTTTTGATTGCTTGAACGGTTCAAATGCATTGTTTCATGAAAGAGAGCATTTTATTGCATTGGTCGAACCAATTAGGGAATCGAGAGTCAAATTGAGTGTTTCAAAAACTAATTTAAGTGTGCAGAAATTCTTGTGATAAAAGTGTGTGATAATTTTGTGTGTAAATTGCTCATATAATCCAGCAAAACTTTTGAATGAGTAAAAGTCCAGTGTAGCATCATCTTTGTGCTATCACTAATTTAACTAATTTCAAAAACTAAATTGCATATTTTTTATGCAAAGTTATGTGGCGTGTATGTAAAAATTTAAATTTATGTTAGACATGTAAACACATGTGATTTGAGTTTTATGCATCTAAGTTTTCCTAAATACTATATTTTAAATAGAAATAAACTTAAGTTTGCCAAAGTCTCAAGCTGTAGAAGTTATTAATGACTCACACTGGATTAATCCGTGCTAAAATTTTATCATTATGAAACTTAAGGGCTGTTTGATAAAAAATTTAATAAATCTTATAAATTCGGATTTACAAAATCCTGCCAACATCCAAATCTAGTATTTGATGTGAAATTGAAATGTGATCTTTCATGTTTTGTCCTAATCTAATTTTACATTAATTTTATGCTTTTGGAAGATATTATATTTGTGCTGTATTTTGTAGGATCTACGCAAGAAAATTAATGAAAGATTAAATGATGGAGATTGGTGTCAAGTGTAGGAGCAGAGCCCAGACACAAGCCAAGCAACGCCCAAGCACACAAGCAAGCTTTCAAACCAGCCATGATAGAGAAGCAAAAATGTAGGCGCTAGTTTGATGGCGCCATGGTCTAGTGCCAATGCGCTGCAAAGCGATGCTAAAGCGCCCAATGCCATAAGCATGAAGAAGCGAGTTATGCAAAAAGGGGCGCTCAATTTGCAAAGTTTAGGCGCCAGAGCCTAGTGCCCATACTCCATAGATTAGCACCTAGGCCCCAGTTCACGTGTTTTGATTGTTTGAACGGTTCAAATGCATCGTTCCATGAAAGAGTATTTTATTGCATTGGTCAAACCATTTAGGGAATTGAGAGTCAAATTGAGTGTTTCAAAAACGTATCTAAGTGTGGAGAAATCCTTGTGATAAGAGTGTGTGATAATTCTGTGTAAATTGCTCGTATAATCAAGTGAAACTTGTGAAGGAGTAAAAAAAGTCCAGTGTAGCATCTTCACTGTGTTTTCCATCGAGGTTTTCATTCCTAACTCATTGTATTTTGATTTGCTTTGATGAGTAGTGTATTTTATTGTTTCCAAATATGAGCAACGATGTGTTCTTCTTTCTCCTTTGGATTGATAATTTCAAAATTCTGTGTTTAATGCATATAATGTAATTCAATTAAAAATGGATAGTGGTGATAAGTTAAATTTTTGCTTTTCATTGACTTTCAATCTAGCCAATTGTTGCATTAAAAATTTAATTATGCGGAAGAATGCTAGTAGAACAAATTAGGTTAACTTATATAGACTTGGGAGAATATTAATATTATTTATGGGTTAGTGTGATCGTGTAGGGGAACTATCAGATCCTAAGTAATTATTTGATTTAGGCAACTAAACCTGTATAATTTCCTAACTTTCTTAGACGATCAGGAGGGGATGAGGAGATTTATTCCTGACTGAGACCTATAAATTTTATCACATAGTTAATCTTAAATTCATAAAGATCAAATTCAGGAGAGAATATTATAATTGATAAAAAACCTCACAACTTCTCACTATTTTCACTTAGGCTTCACTCTTACCAAAATGTAGAATTAGTAACTTTTAAAATCATCAAATTTCAAACACTTTAGGCTAGACTTTTGATTAGTAGGCTAAAATTTTTTTAAAATTAAAAATTTACAAGTTTCTTGTGGGATCGATATACAAACTCAGATCCCTAAGCTACTCAATATGTTTATTTGTGTGGATCGTCAATGCTTCATAGCATGTTGGTCGTATCAAGTTTTTAGTATCGTTATCAGGGAATGACGTTAAATTTCTTTTTTTAGAAGAGTTTTAGTGGAATTGTCGAAGGTTTGATTTGAATCTTGTTGTGTTATATTTTACTATATTTATTTGGTTTTTCTTATTTTACAAAATCCAAAAATATATCGTGTTTCGTGCTTTCTATTTCTAGTGTTTAATCAGTGTTCTTGTTTTACTACATATCAATAATTGTAAAATTGTGTGTCATGTTTCCTTTATAATTTTAGAACATATAAGTGTTTAGTTTCTTGTTATAAGTAGTTTGATTGTTGTGACTTGTTATATGTGTTATTTTTGGGTCACTCATTAGACTGTGCTAGTTGTTTATACGTAGGACTAAAACTTAGGAAGTAGTACCATAAGACCCTGTACTTTGAAGAACTATAAAAAAATTAAAAAACCCAAAAGATTTAAAAGGAAATATGTAGAAATTAAAAACCTACCTCAAGAGAATATCATGCCTAGATCGCTTATGGAATATACCAACCCATTGGTTTCATTAAAGTATTAACAACTCTATAATAAAAGCTACCTCCTTTGAACTTAAACCAATTATCATCCAGATAGTACAAAATAATTAGTTTGGGGATCACCCACATAAAACTCTAACCTTCACTTAGCTAGCTTTCTTGAACTGTATGCCACATTTAGGTATAGTTGTTTTTCTAATGGTGCTGCTAGACTAAGGTTAATCATTTTCTCAAATAAGGATAAAGCTAAAAAAGTGGCTAAACTCCTTAGCACCAGAATCAATCACCAATTCGAATGATTTAACCTAGAAAATTCTGTTCAAATATTTTCCTTCATATAAGATTGTTAAACTTATGAATGATATCATATCATTTACCCAGTTAAAAGAAAAATCTATTTATGAAGCTTGGATGAGATTCAATGAATTGCTTAGGAGATACCTACACCACACCTAGCCCGACAAGCTGATCATTCAAACCTTTCACAATGAGTTAGTGTGATCATTGAGGTCGATAATAGATACTACAATTAAGGGGCCACTCATGCCAAAGCCATTTGAGGAGGCATATTTATTGATTCAAAAGAAAAAGTTTAATTATTTTCAACGAACTTCAGATAGAGTCAATATTAGAAAGATAGCTGGTGTGCACGACACAGATGTGTTAACAATCATAACTTCACAAGTAGCTATAATATCCAGGAAGTTATATAATTTATGATTGGATTCTGCACCAGAATTAGTAGTAATAGAGGAAAATGCTTATAGATAGATAGTTGATCTTAATGATGTGTCTGTATTCTAGCACTTACAATCCAGACCAAAAGAGCCACCCAAAGTTTAACTAGAAAAATAACAACTAAGGTCTAGAAACCCAACAATGTGGTAATAACCAACCCAATCTTGTAGGTATTTGAAATAACCAAAGTACAAACAATGCTAGACCAACCGATATTGACTTATAATACAAAATTTTAAGGGAAAAAAATTATCTTTGGAAGAGATTGTGCTACAAATGAGGAATCAGTTACAAAGTTAGACTGTAGCAATACGAAATACCAAGAATCAATTAGGGCAAAAACTACATGAATTTAGGTTATTTTCAATGGTCAAAAGTCATTGGCAAAAATAAAAAACTATCGACCAAAAAAAAAACCGACAGGTTTTTGAAGGATCAACGGAAGTAGCTTTTTAGCTTATCGGTAATCCAAGGAACAACAATATTTTCGATGGCTTTTATCATTTGATAACTTATCGACAGCCATAACCCATGGTTTTAAGTTGAATGCATAACCATCAGTTAATAGTTGGTTATCCACCAGTTACATAACTAACAACTCAAGGCTATCATTTTATGTGGAAAACATAATCGTTAGTTAACAATTAGCTAAATAGTCGACAGTCACAACCTATCAGTTCATGCCAACATAAAAAAAGCATCAGTTGTTCTTGGTTAATTTCATAGGTTTTTAACTGTTAGGATTGAGACTGTCAATTTTTTTTTATAATATGTCACTTGACCATCATTTTTTCGTCAGTAAAATAAGCGACAGTCCAACAATTGGCTAGATTGATTAAGTAAATGAAGTTCACAGTTTGAATCATCACAATTATGAAATTAA